GCCTTGCTTGAGGGAAAACTGCTGTCTGCTTCCTTCACCGTGGAGCCAGCAGCCATGTGAGCTGAAGGACTTCCAGTATATTAACTGTTCCATGAAAGTGAGTTGAACTGAGCCCTCTGTACCTCTGTGTGGACTAATTAGCTGTTACATTCCTTCTCGCTGTATAAACCTATCCTCTTATATATATACATAATCATAAGTGCCTTAGTCTTGTTTCTCTAGAGAACCCTGCCTAACACCCAGGTGTTGTTACAGATGGAGCCATGCCCCGCAAAGCACGTGCTGGAACCCTAACCACTATGCTGTAAATGTCACCCCACCTAGGAATAGGGTTTTCTTTGCTATGTTAAAGAGCCCCCAGCCAGTGTAGGTTGTGTCCTAAGCCATTAGCTTGCAAGGTATAAAAAGAGCAAATCGGAATTAGAATCAAGGAGACCCAAATGGGGAAAGCCTGGTGCCACGTGGGGATTGCCAAGGAACTAAGAAAGAGACATTGTAAAAGACAAGGATTTCCCCTCAGAACGTACAGGAATAGGCTTCCCCTGGGGCTTGAATTCAGACTTCTAGCCCCTTGAACTCTGAGAACGTTTGTTTCCATTCCCTTAGAAGCTCCATGAATCAGAATTGGTTGATGGCAGTGAGTTTGATGTTTGGGGGCTAGGCCACCCAAGAGGCCCTCCTGGCATAGTGGTTATGTGTTGGGCTGCTAACTGCAAGGCCCACTGTTCAAAACCACCAGCCACTATGGGAAAAAGATGAGGTTTACTACCCCCCAAATTAATTAAAACCCAATATCCATTTGCAGGGTCCCCATGTGGATTAAGCCTCTGGGGAATCCCTGTGACATTGACAGGGGGTGGAATCGCCTTGCTGTCAGAGTGTATGGAAAGTGAACACATGCAGATGTCAATTAGTTAACATTTAACATCTTCTCATTTGCTCTCCCTTTTGATCCAAATTTATACTTGTTTGGTTTAGTTTTTATTAGTTTCTGTTACCTTTTCGATTGAGGTTTTCCTATGGGTTTTTGTTTTTGGTGTTTTTCTTTATATCAGATCCAGGATGGGTAAATCTACAGAGACAGTAACTACCTCAATAGTTTCTTAGGGGAGGATAGTGGAAGTAGGGAGCTAATAATAGTGAGTACAAGAAAGTTTGAACCCCAACCTTTTGGTTAGCAACTGTTAGTCTGGGTAGACCAGAGAAACAAATCCGAAGACACTCATACGTGTAGAAGAAAGAGCTTTGACTAAAAGAGCAACTGTATATTGAGAAAACATCCCAACCCAGTCCAGATCAAATCCATAAGTCCAATACTAGCCCATATGTCTGATACCAATCTATAAATTCTTCTTCAGACTCACACAGCACATGCAATGACACCGAATGCAGGAAGATCACAGGCCAGTGGGTGGATATTCTTGTGGATCCAGTGGCAGTAGAAACATCTCAACGCTGGCAAGGGTCTCCACAGGCTCCAGGGCTCTTAGGTAGCTCCATGTGTCTTGTCAGCAGGATTGTCTCATAGGGAGTAAGCGTGTGTCCTTCCTCCAGTGAGCTACTTATCTCCTTAGCGCCTCCAAATGAGGTCATCAAGCTGCGACCTGATTGAAAGGCTAAACTCCACCCCTTCACTTTTAATAGTCTCAAATTGACAACAGATTATGCAACTACCACAGCAACCCATGTCTAACCCTCCATGCCATCAAACATACACCCAAACCCAACCCAACCCACTACCATTAAGTCCATTCCAACTCACAGTGACCCTGTAAATCTTTACAGAAGCAGATGGCCTCATATTTCTCCGCAGGACCAGCTGGTGGGTTTGAACTGTCCACCTTGTGGTTAACAGCCCAACAGCTTATCCCACAGTGCCACCAGGGACATACAAGCTGCATTTAATTCTGCCGGGAGTGAGCTGTGGCCGCACGTGTGACATGCTGTCTACCAGCAATGGCCTGGTTTTTCACAGGCCTGTGTTTTTACGGGAGCTGGTGACATAGGCACCCTCTGCCCAGCTCCTTCCAAAATGCTGGACTCCCAGAAGGAAAGGAAACTTTATGTCCAAGAGAACAAACACTGCCTGGTCCCACACCACCCTCACAATTGTGCTTATGACTATGTTGCGGTCACTGTGTCAGTCCACCTCACCAAGGGCCTTCCTCTTTTCACAGCCACTCTGGGTTTGATTCCCAGTCAAGCTACCTCCTGCGCCACCAAAACCCCTCTGAGCTTTTGTGCTGCTCAGTTGCTAACCAGGTTTCAGCAGAGCTGCCACACTAAAACAGAGGAGGAAGAAAGGCCTGGTGATCTACTTCTGAAATGCAGCCAATGAGCACGCTATGGTTCACCAAGGTAGTGGTTGCTCCACAACCCGTCCTGGGATGGCCCAGCAGCTGCCAACATGCCAGTCCACTCTGCAGGGGGTTCTGTGTGTGTTCTTGCACCCCCTGAACAATGCTGTCACAACACCCCTGAGATGGGAACCCTTGCCGATAGAAAAGCCAAGGTTCAGCTGGTTTAAATAATTTGTACGTGTTGGGGCTGGGATTTGAACTTAATCTTTGGTACCCTGAATACTCTGCTCTTTCTACAATATTATATTCAGGCTCTGAGGATATTCATGGGCCCATGTTGGGGGCCAAGGTGCAACTAGGGGCAACTTGTGGATGGAATTCCCACAGAGAGCCGAATGCAATGCCCTTCACCTTCAGCGTTGTCTTAGTATCGATGCTTGTGTTAGTCACAGAAACTCATGTATAAGAGAGTTTAATATAAAGGTAAAGTGCACATCAAGAAAACATCCCAACCCAATGCTGGCCAAGCCCAGAAGTCCAACATTAACTAACCCATTAACCCATATGTCTGATACCAATCCACAAAGTCCTCCTCCATCTCACAAAACACACACAATGATGCCAACTGCAGGAGGAAAGCCAAATCAGTGAACGTGGCAGGGGTCTCCACACGGCTGCTCCAGCACCCAGGGCTGCATCGGGGTAGGTCCAAGTGGCTTCTCCTTGGGGATGTCTTACAGAAAGTGAGCCTTGCAGGCTGAAGCAGGGAACTGGCTGAGGCAGCTGCACCCTGGTGTGACCATCACAAATCAAGAGACCCGAGAACTCGAAAGGCGAGGCTCACCGAGCCATTTATCACTCCATCCTTCAATTAACCCCACATGTGTTTATCGGCCAGGTTGGCAAAATAAACTAACTAACTCAATGCTGTTCTAACAGAAAGACCACAGGTGGGTCAGTGTACCAGAGTGCAGGCTCTCTCAGTGGAGGAGGTTAAAGGTCGGAATTCCAGGCACCAGCCAGCCCTAGGGGAAGGCTCTCTTCCGCTGTTGTCTTCAGAGGAAGGCTCATGTCTTCTCAGTCTCTGGGCAAGGATCCAGCTCGTGGGTCATCTCCATGTGGTGTTGCTTCTCTCGTTCCCCATCGCTGCTTGCTCGCTTGCTTTCATATCTCAAAGGAGATGGACTTTAGACACACCCTATACAAATCCATACTCATTCAGTCTCATTAGCAACATGAAATAAAACCCAATTCCAAGTGGGAATACAGGTACAGGTGTAGGGGTTAGGGTTTATAGCACGTATTTTTGTGGGCCACAATGAAATCTGTCACATTGCCTCTCAGAGTCATCCAGTCCCCAGGCCACGCCCACAGAGCCAGAATTGACAACCGTAAAGATCTAGGCATGTGCTCAGCTACCCACTGCTGGGCTGGAGTAACCATCTGCTTCTGTAACAATTGTTGTTGTAGTTAAGTGCCATCGAGTTGGCTCCGACCCACAGCGACCCCGTGCCCAACAGAGGGAAACACTGCGTGGTCCTGCGCCGTCCTCAATTGTTCCTAGACCTGAGCCCGTCAATGCAGCCATTGTGTCAGACCACCTTGTCAAGGGCCTTCCTCTTTTTGCCACCCCTCCGCTTTACCAAGCATGATGTCCTTCTCCAGGGACCGGTCTCTCCTAACAACCTGTCTATATTATGTAAGAGAAAGTCTTGCCTCCCTTGCTTCTAAAGAGCATTCTGGCCTTACTTCTTCTAATACCGATCTGTTTGTCTCGTTAGCAGTCTTTAGTACTTTCAGTATTCTTCTCCAGCCCCACAGTTCAAATGCATCGGTTCTGTGAAGAGTACACCTTTGGAAACCCTATGGAGTAGTTCTCTTCTATCCAATGGGGTTGCTATGAGCCAGAATCCACTTGACGGCTGTGTGTTTGGTTTAGGGCTTATTGGGTATGGTGCGATGTCTCATTGTGATTATATCTTGCATTTCCCTCCTGGCCAATGATGTTGAGCAATATTTTGTCACCTGTATTTTCTTTGGCTTCTGGTGAAGTCTTCTGCTCATTTGAGGGGGCGGGGGCTGTGTGTCTTCTTCCTGTAAAGAGTTTCACTCTCAGAAACTCACAGGAGCAGTTCGACCCTGCTCTCCAAGGTCGCTATGAGTGAACTGACTCTGAGAGTGAGTCTGCTTTTCTGGGTTGGCTCCTAGGCTGGCATTTTCTGTGTGTTCTAATGCAACTTCTTCGCATCAATGTTGTCTTTCCAAGAGCAGAATGCTTTCATGTTCCCGAAATCTGAATGACCCTTTTTGTTTTCTTTCTGTTCGTTTGTTCTTTTGTTCCCTTTCACGTCAGTCACATGTACCTTGAACACATCCCTGGGGGATCACACTGTGGACCTCAGTTGGAGAAGCCCAAGTGTGATGGTTTTCTGATCCGAGGTTGACACCCAGGTTTGTCCCTTTCAGAGAAGGCCACTTCGTCTCTCTGGGCCTCCGTTTCCATCTCTGTAAAAGAAGAGCCGACACCAAGTTCCCCCCACAAAGCCTGTTGCTCGTGAGCTTACGCTCAAGCCGAGCTTCGCGCAGCTGTGCTTTGAATGACCAAGTGCTTCATAAACGTGGTTGTCTTTTAACCCCCGGCTTGCTTCAAGAGGTGGGACGGGGTGAAAGGAAATGACATGCCTTGTTGTTTATTTTCAGTACATCAAGGCTTTTTACAACGAATCCTGGGAAAGAAGACACGGACAGCCGATAGACGCGGACACACTGAGGCTGCTCTGGTCCATGACGGTGTCCATTTTCGCCATCGGTGGACTCGTGGGCACCCTGATGGTGAAGCCGATTGGAAAGGTTCTTGGGAGGTCAGTGGAGGCTGTCTCTCTTTGGGGCTCCTTCTACGCTCCTCTGTTCCCAGGAGGAGATGGCAACCCTAGCTAGTTCAACGAGCCCAACAGAAGAGATTTGGATGAGGAATCTACTTTCTGGAAGATAAAAAGAGGTGATAGAGCACCAGAATCCAGCCAGAGCTGAAGGCATGAGCAGATGAGCTGAGGTGTGGGGAGGGGGTGGGCCAGGTCAGAACCAGAACACCCAAGTTGGGAGTGAGCAGGGAAGAAATAGGTGGATCTCTCATCCTGCCCTCCAATCTCCTGCTGGTCCCTCCATTGATCAAAGCCAAGTAGAAGCCAGGAAACCAGGGAACCTCCTTCATGTAGTCACGCCCCCCGGGGCACAAAGCAGAACAGCAAGGGCAGGGAATGGTTGGGTTTCGGGGCACATAAAGAAGAGGGGACACAGTGTCTGGGAGGCTGTTCCGTCTAAGCCCATGGCCATCCAGGAGCCTTGCTTCAGGAAGACCTTATGAACAAGAGCACCAAATGTCGATTCTCTCTGCATGTCCATTAGTGTATTGGGGCACAGGGGACACGCTTCAGTGGTGTTTCCAGACTCCAAGGGACCAGGAAGAAAAACCTGACAGTCTACTTCCACTGAAAACCTATGGGTCGCAATAGACTGCCGTGGTTCTCAACCTTCATAGTGCTGTGGCCCTTTCACACAGTTCCTCATGTGGTGGTGACCGCCCAACCATAAAATTATTTTCGTTGCTACCTCATAACTATAATTTTGCTATCGTTATGAAACAGGTAACTCCTGTCAAAGGGTCGTTCGACCCAAAGAGGTCGTGACCCACAGGTTGAGAACCGCGGCAATAGAGCTTTGTATGCTAGAATGTTAGAAGATGAGACCTTGGTTACAAACCCGGTTTCAAGAGTGAGATCTGATGCTTCCTTATCACTCAGAGTTGTTTATAAGCCACTTGTGCTCTTTGAGTGTCGCTTGACTCCCTGGCTGAATCGTTGTTGTTATGGTTAGGTGCCCAATTCATAGTGAATCACCGCTCAGCCCTGCACCACCCTCACAAATGCTATGTTTGAGCTCATTGTTGCAGCGAACTTCTCCCTGTTTTTCATGTATCCTCGCATGATGGTGCTTCACCATGCCCAAGGTCCTTCTCCAGGGACTGGTGTCTTCTAACAATATGTCCAAAGTATGTGAGATGGAGTCTTGCCATCCTAGCTTCTTAGGCACTTTCTGGCTGCACTTCTTCCAAGACAGATGGGTTTGTTCTTGTGGCAGCCTACGTTAATTTCAATATCCTTCACCAACATGATCATTCTAAGACATCAGCTCTTCCATGGTCTTCCTTATTCGTCGTCCAGCATGAAAACATACGTAGGAGGTGATTGAAAATACCATGGCTTGGGTCAGCTCATCTTAGTCTTCCAAGTGACATTTTTGCTGCTTAAATACTTGAAGAAGGTCTTGCGCACCAGATGTGCCCAATGCAAGGAATCCTTTGATTTCTTGATGACTGCCTTCATGAGGGTTGCTTGTAGAGCCAATCAGAATGAAATCCCTGACAGCGTTATCTTTTCTCCATTGCTCATAATGTCTATTTGGTTCGGTTGTGAAGATTTACCTGGAAAAGTAATGTAGGCCACATCTTTGACTTCCATCGACAAGTACTTGACGTTCTCCTCACTTTGGGACTCACTGGTTGAATAGCATGTCCCTCCAAATTCATGTCCACCAGAACCTCAGAATGTGACTTCCTGGAAAGAAGGTCTTGGAAGCTGTAACTAGTTAAGATGACATCCTTCTGGATTGGAGTGAGCTGGTAGTTTTATAAGAGAATTAGAAAAGACACAGGTATAAAGGAGACAGACACAGAAGGCAGCAGGCCACGTGAAGATGGAGGTAGCAGTGGTAGAGGTTCAGCAACAAGCTGTGACATGTGAAGCACCGTTGGCACTTGCCAAATGCGAAGGAGAGGCAAGGCGAGAACCTTCCCCGTGAGACTTCAGAGGGAGCACACCTTTGTTGACAGCTGCCATTGGGAGGTCCAGCCTCCAGAAGAGCGAGGGAATAAGGAAAGCATTTCTGTTCTGATTAGCTACCTCATTTGTGATGCTTCATTATGGCAGCCCTGAGAAACATACACAGTGGGGAAAATGGAGAAAAGAAGTACGTTTTCTCACAGTTGTGGAGGCTACAAGTTCCGAAGTGCAGGTAGGTGAGCAGAAGAGGAATGAGCCCAGGCGCTCTCCAGTGCTCCGAATATTCAGCAGATTGCCCAGTGTGATGAGCCCTTTGATCTCTTCTTGACTGCTGGTTCCACGAGCATTGACTGTGGATCCCAGCATCATGACATCTTTGACAACTTCAATCTTTTCTCCTTTTATCATGATGTGACCTATTGGTCCACTGTTTCTGGAAGGACCTCATTTCACTAGAGTGTAATGAGAAGTAGGTGGCCCTGAGTTCATCGCACATGGTTCCGTGCTTGGCTACTCACCTGAAGGGCGGCAGTTGTAACCCACCCAGGGGTCTCTCAGAAGACAGGCTTTGTGACCTGCTGCTGCAAGGTCACAACCTTCAATCCCTGTGGAGTTCAGTTCTACTCAGAGCCATATGGCTTCAGTCAGAAGGGATTTGCTGAAACTAACAACAACCATGAAAAGTATGCTCGAGATCAGGGGTTCTCAACCTGTGGGTCGCGACCCCTTTGGGGGTTGAACAACTCTTTCACAGGGGTCACCTGATTCATAACAACAGCAAAATGACAGTGATGAAGTAGCAATAAAAATAACTTTATGGTTGGGGGGGTCACTACAACATGAGGAACTGTATTAAAGAGTCACGGCATGAGGAAGGTCAGAACCACTGCTCTAGATTCAAGACGAAGTAGTATACCTGGCACCTTCCATCAATCGGTCATCGTCCTGTGCATCAAGCCAAACCCTACCATCGAAGAAAGCCATGCTCACACTTTCCCGGAGCCCTCTCCTTTTCAGGCTAAATGAGTCGTTCCTGTGACCTGTTCTCAAGGGACATGTTCTCCATCTCCTCATCACACCTTTTCACTCACTGCTGGTATCTTCTATCCGAGAACCGATGACCTCCTGGGATGAGTCTGTATTGCAGAAGCCCAGCATCATGAATTCAGCGCCTAGGCTGGGGTTCCAAGGGGGAGCTAGAGTTGGGCTCCGGATACAGCCAGGCCCTGTGGTCCCTCCCTTCTTTAACTGTGTTCATAGCCCGGGGAATGAAAACGGGTGCATGGTGATTTAAAATCCCTATCTTTGGACCCCAGTGAGTCAGCTTCGTGAATTATTTACAATAAGGTATTCCATCCTCACTGGGGCACTGTCAGGCCGAGAGCTATTTTGGGAAGGAGTATGTTAATGTGATGAACTTGCTCAGAGAGTGTAAAGCCCTGTTTGCAAATGTTTCAAGTCAGACTTTAATGGGAGTTTTACATCCCCTGTGCATAACAACAACAAAATACCCTATCCTATCCAGCGCAAGAGCTCAACCAAAGCCCTATCTTCAAAAAATTCCAGGATCTGAGGAGTTCTCACTACCTCTGCTGCTACCATCCGGGTGGAGGTGGGCGAGGACGGAGAGACATTGTCTCACGTACTGTGGACATGTCGTAGACAGAGAGCAGTTTCTAGGGAAGGCCATCATGCTTGGTAGAGAAGAGGGGCCGTGGAAAAGAGGAAGACCCTCTCTGAGCTGGTGGTCACCGAGGTTGAACAATGAGCTCACAAAGAAGGACGATTGTGAGGATGGAGCAGGACTGGGCAGTGCTTCATCCTGACTGGACGGCACCTGACAGCAACAGAGTAACTGTGGCAGCTAACATTGCAGACAGCTTAGTATCACGGTTCCTGGAGCTCTAGAACTTCATTTAAATAACATGTGCCCTTGACGAGGTCCCGTAACTTCCCGACTTCAGCTTCTCCAATGGTGAAATGCAGCAACCTGCTTACCTTACTGATAGAGACTGGCAAAGACCCAGCGAGTATAGAACATGCCTGGCACAGTGTGGGCACTCAGAGAACATCATGGGCTTTATTTTATTTTCCTTCCTTGAGATTCCAAATAAATTCTGGATACTATCCTCAGCACCTTACATAAATCATGTCCTTCACATAAACCAAACTCACTGCTATTGAGTCAATGCTGACGCATAGTGACCCTTCTAAAACAGGGCAGACCCGCCCCTATGAGTTTCTGAGACCGTAACTGTTTACAGAAGTCGAAAGCCCATCTTTCTTCTGAGCGGCAGCTGGTGGTTTCGAACTGACGACCTTGTGGATTGCAGCCAAACTCATAACCATTACATCACCAGGGCTTCCAGGCTTTACATAAGCACCACACAAATAGACATTTTGCAGATGCACAGAGAGAAATCTGCTTAAAAGTCGTTTCATCACGATGTGGTTGGGCTGTCCAAGTGGAGATGGAGATGGAGATGGATCGGGAGATGGACTCAGGATAGCAGCACTGTGGTCACTATATAATTTTAGGTCAACTTGATAAATACGTGTAGGAGTGGAGTCTAGCCTGTCAATCAGGCCACAGCCTGATGATGCCTCTCTGTGGGCATGGACTTCTCATGAGGATTCTGCGAACTTCCTCTCTTTCTCCATGGAGGGGGCCACACTCTCCCTCAGCCTTGGTCTTCCTGCTGACAAGCCACACTGGAGACTTGTTGAGACCTGCGAGAGCCTCTCTCTGTGCTTCACCTTCCTGTGGAAGAGCAACACTCAGAGAGCTGGAGGAGCCCACGTGGAGACCCTAGCCAGCACTATGATGCTTCCACAGCCACTGGATCTACAAGACTTTGCACCCACCGGCAGCGTTTTGTTTTGTCTTCTGTAGTATAAAGGGTCCCAATGGGTTGGAGCTGACTCAGTGGTCCCTAATAACATCCACAGTCCCCTATGAATGGACATGTGGGTTGTTTCAATAGTTTTTCATGATGCAGGATGTCACAAGGAGCTATTTTTATACCATGGCCACTGACTTCTAAAAGGGATACTGGAAAGGAATGGAAAACTTCAGACAAGTTAGAAATAGTGGAAAGAGGTCTGGCCTAGAAGGCAAGTCATATCACTCCTAAACATAATGATAAAGTCCCCTTTCACACCCCTAGCGTCTCACAATGTACCGAACAATATACTATGTTAACTCATCAAGTCTGAAGGAGGAGGAGAACTGATGAACTCCTGGGCCCACGAGTTGTCTGACCTAAAGCAAAGGTACTAGCTTGTTCACGTCCTAAGTGTCATACTTTGGGCATGCTGTCGGGAGAGGTCAGTGCCTGGAGAAGGACATTGCACTTGGTAAAGCAGAGGGGCAGATGAAAAGAGGAAGGCTCTCAAGGAGATGGGGGGACACAGCAGCTGCAACAATGGGCTCAGGCCCAGGGACCATTGTGAGGAAGGCGCAGGACCGGGCAGTGTTTTGTTCTCTTGTGTATAGGGTCACTATGGGAACTGGCTTGATGGCACCTAACAACATGCCCTAATGACCATATCCATAAAGTGGCGATAATGGCAGTACACCTCATGGAGGCACGTGAGGTTTTTCACGTAGTACTCATCCAGAGTGCTTAGAGTGGGGTCTGCCACCTAGCAGGGGCTCCGTAAAGAGGAGCGATTATATATTTTCATTGTTTGGCAGATGAGAAAAGGAACATGGAGTGATGAGTCACAAAGTCACCTGACACCCCCCCCAAAAAAAGAACCCATAGCCTTGACATAGGCACCTAGGCCCCCAAGCTTCCAAAGACGTTGTGCATCTCAACTCATCGAATGCTGATGGTTGTCCTGGCACACAGCAATCAATAGTAATTATTGTCGTGGGGATTTGCCTGTCCTTGTTTGAGGGATTAGTCCAAACTTAGGCCCAGCACTGCAATTCATCTACAACACTTCTGGGTTCATGAAGAAGCACAGTTAGTTAATGAACCACAGAGAGAGAGAGAGAGAGAGAGAGAGAAATGCAGCAGCAAAGCACGAGAACACAGAAAGGAAGGAAGGAGTGAATGCGTGAAGGAAGGAAGGTACGAATGAACTAGTAACCTGCCTTCTGAAGCTTCAGGGTGCTATGCCAGTGACCCAGCTGTCCCCTTGCAGCCCCAAACGCCCCCTCTGGTGCTTTGTTCTCTGACACTGAGTCTGGGACCTGTTGGCCTCATTTGTCCTTTACAACTGCTGCTTGCTGCGGGTGTTGTTGTTGGCGTCTGTCGAGTCAGCCTCTGACGTCCGGTGGCCCCCACGTACCATTGGACAGAACTCTTGGCCCTCCTCCATGATTGGTGGGGATTATACCACTGTCCTTGTTCCAGTCAGTCTTTAGTGGCGGATTCTGCGGACACAGACAGACAGGACTGCTTCTTAGTCAATCTTAGTCTGGAAGTTCCACCAAAACCTGTTTGGCATCCGTGCAGCACACAAGCTTCCCCACAAGGATGCACAGGTAGGGGCTGTGCACGAGGTACGGTGGCCAGGAGTCAAATGCAAGGAAGAAAAACATTCTTTCACTGAATCTCTACTACACCCCCTCCCGGTTCCTGCTAGAACCCACCAGCAGGGGCACTAGGAGGAGTCTGGGGGTGGGAAGAGGGAAGGACCTGCATTGTATGGTTTGTCCCAACAATGATGTGGACAGTGGCAACTGGTTCCAAGACCAGATTTCGTCCACATCCCCAAACCAGACTCATGGAACCCTTGGCAGAAGACAGCACCAGGTGGGCAATGCCCTACCCCCCCACACACACCTAAAGCAACTCTTCAAGGCCCCTTACCCCAAACCCCTGAGGTATTAGCACATTGGGGGGCAGCATGTCTCCTCAGAAGACTCCCCTTTGTATATTACGGTCCTCCCACAATTGCTTAACCAATTCCTTATAGTAAATGATTTCAATGAAAACAGCCACATTAAGTTCTCTTGGCTCAGACTCATGAATTCGTAAGATGATTCTTGGTCTTGGAAGGAATCCATCGTCTGTCCAAGGACGGATGCAGATGGCCTAGTCAATTCCACTGGGGAGCTTAGAGGGTGGACTGACCTTGTCATGGTCAAGGTCACATGGCCAGAAGGTGGCAGCAAGGGCCAGAACTCACACCTGACCCCTGGGCAGAGGTTCTTTCTACTCGGGCCTGTGTCTCACGCTGCTGACCCTCCTGAAATGCCAGGCCCCTGCTCCTGGGGTGGACAGGCCAGTGACTCATCTTATGCGGGGCCTCCTCATCACCACCACCCCCTTCTTGTTTCCCAGGAAGTACACACTGCTGGTCAACAATGGGTTTGCCATTGCTGCTGCCTTACTGATGGCCTGCTCTCTCTGGGCAGGAGCCCTTGAAATGCTCATCGTGGGCCGCTTCATCATGGGCGTGGATGGAGGTGAGGCTTCGCTGGGAGAGGAGGGCCATTTGAAGGGCACGGGGGCTGTCAAAATCATCCCTGCTGGCAACCGATGGTGGGGGGACAAGGTTGCCGGACAAACCACTCCAATCACAGTGTTCTAGTACCCTGACTGAGAAACCCCAAGTCCATCCCAGAGGCCAGGGTGGTCTTCAGCTATTAAACTCCATCGATTTTGTCACCTACACCACTAACTTCTTCTTTCAAAGGTATCTCAGTGAACAGGGAGCTTTTGCCAGAGTTGGATTGCCTGTCAGGGTCTCTGAATCGTTCATTGTTCTGTTTACTAATCAGGCATTTGCAAGCACCCTGCTCTGCCTGGCATTTTCTACATAAAACCATTCCAGACAAATCGACTGTTACTGAGTCGATTCTGACTCACAGCATCCCAGTAGGACAGAGTAGCTCCATGCCTGAGGGTTCCCAAGGCCAGGAATCTCTGGGGAAGCAGACTGCCTCATCCTTCCTGCATGGAACAGTTGATGGATTCAAACCTTTCCGTTAGCAAGCAGTTCAACACCTAACCCAGTGTGCCACCAGGGATACTTGTACAGAAACTCTCACTGCCATTGAATCTATTCCAGCTCATAAAGACCCTCATGGACAGGGTAGAACTGCCCCTGTGGGTCTCCGAGGCTGTAGCTCTTCACAGAAGTAGAAAGCCTCGTCCTTCTCCCGTGGAGCGACTGATGGTTTCAAACTGCTGACCTTGCGGGTAGCTAGGTCCAATGCTAACCACTGCATCACCAGGGCTCCTCGATCCTTGTACAGACTGGGGTATAATGGTTAACACGGCACCCAAGTCTTAGTGGTAAGTCCCAAGAATAAAACCCAGCAGGGCAGCAGGGTGTTGTTGTTATTGTTGTTAGGTGTCCTTGAGCTGGTTCCAACGGACAGTGACCCCACATACAACATAGCACTGCCCGGTCCTGTGCCATCCTCGCTATCACCATGTTTGAGCCCGTTGTTACAGCACTGTGCCAGTCTTCTCAGTGAGGAGCTTCCTGTCTTGTGACTGCCCTTCTACTTTACCAAGGAACCGATGTCCTTTTCTAGGGCCTCATCTCTCCCGATACGACATCCAGAGTATTGCGAGACAAAGTCTTAGCATCCGCACGTCTAAGGTGTACCCTGATGGAACTTCCAGAATGATTCCAAGCCCAAACTCACTGCCATCTAGTCGATTCCGACTCCCAGCGGCCCTGTGGGAGAGGGTGGAACGAACTACCCTACAGTTGCCCAGACTGCAACGCTCTACAGAAGGAGAAAGCCTCATCTTTCTCCCACAGAGGGGCTGGTGGTTTGGTCTGCTGACCTTGACGTTCACAGCTTAGTGCATGACCACTATGCCAACAAGCCTATGGGACAGTTCTACCCTGTCCTGTAGGGTCACTATGAGTTGGAACTGACTCAGGAGCACTGGGTTTGGTTGTGTTTGTGGTGGTTGTTGTTATTGTTGTTTTCCAATCTGATTTCAAAGACCCTTCCTACTTCGGTTCAAAGGTACACGCATTTCGCCCATATGACCTTAAAAGTCCTTTCCTTGTGGAAGCCACTGGGATTCTGTCTTTCTGAGGTTTTCTATTTTATCTTCAGAGCCTCTTTCCCTTTGCTTTGCCTGCCTGGCTATTCCAGGGGAGGCGGCACTTTTTGTGCACCACTAATGTTTTACCTGAATTTACTTACTTACAAAGACACTGCATTCAAAGGCAGATGCCAATTCTACAAAGCCATGAGTTCAGAATAAATGCCTCAGACCCTTTGTCCTAGAGCCCTGCACAATGGAGCAGAGGGAAGTGAAAGGAAAGGAAGAACGAGGGTGGAGGGAGCGGACTCCTGATCCCCGGAGCATGGCCACCTGGAGCAGCTCCAAGACCCAGAGAGTTTGTGCCATTTGCCTGCCCAGAGCCCTCTCGAAGCAGAGTGGGCGGGTGCACTGTGGGTCAAACACAAAGGACAATCACTGGTCAGAGCAGAATGGCCTGACTGGTTGGTAGTAAATAATATAAACCCAAAAGATAAGCTGCGGGGTGGGGGGGGGTATGTCAGAAGGTAGAACGCTCTTGCTGTGTGTTCTCATAGTTTGGAGGGTAACAGACTGGGGGGGCAGAAAGAACCAGGTGTTCAGAAGTGGATTCTAATCTTACGACTGCCATGGGCGACCTTAGACAAATGCCTTCACAGCTCCAAGGACAGTCGAATGCCTTGACCAAAGTCAATGAAACACAAGTAAACGTCTTTCTGGTGCCCTCTGCTTTCAGCCAAGATCCGGGACATCTGTAATGATAGCCCTGTTTCACATTCTTTTCTGAATCTGGTCTGAACCATCAATGTACTGCTGCAATAGTACATTGGGAGAGCTTCAGCTAAATTTTACCTGCATGTGTTATCAATGATTTGTTCTATAATTTGCATATTATATTGGGCCACCTTTCTTTAGAATGGGTGCAAATATGGATCTCTTTTGGCCAAGTAACTGCATCTCAAATTTCTTTCCATAGACATATGAGTGCTTCAGTATTCCAATTGGTTTTGCATCAATTCCAAGAGCCTTGCTCGGGCTAATATTTTCAGTGCAGCTTGAACTTCTTCCTTCAGCATTACTGGTTCTTGAACATATGAGATGCTTGTGTGATATCTCTTGACGTGGTTGAATGTCAACAAGTTCTTTTGGTTCAAAGGCTGTATTTTTTTCATCTTCTTTTGATGTTTCTGCATCATCGAGAATCTTTCAACCTTGCAACTTGAGGCTTAAATTTTTTCTTGAGTCCTTTCAGCTTAAGACACACTGAGTCTCTTCTTCCTTCTTGGTTTTCTAACTCTAAGTCCTCGTACATCTCATTATTTCACTTTCTTTCCTGGAGCTGCCCTTTGAAATGTTCTGTTCAGCACCTAGGTGTGTGTGTGTGTGTGTGTGTGTGTGTGTGGTGGGGTGGGGGCAGAATGTAGCAGAAGATAGGTCAGAGGATGGAAGAAGTTCCTCTGATGTACAGTTCTGTGCTCTACGATGACCCTCCTCCCTTGGTTATCACAGGATGCAGGGGCTTCCTTGGAGCCAAGATCTTTATTGCTAAAACCAGGACAACCCCAGGCAAACCTGGGTGCGTTGGTCAGCCTACAGTGGACCCTTCGTACCGAGGCCCTCCTGATTTATTTATAGATTAGTAACTAGCATCTGGCTTTTCCTTGTAATTTCAAAATTAGAACGAACAATCACCAGTTAGTGATAGCAACTGACTAAACATCTTACGTGTATGTAAGATGTGCAGAGCAGTCATACAAGGGGAGTTTTATTACTATCCCAAATATTACCCATTACAGGCTAGGGTCCTTAGTGCTGTGTTCTTCAGCACTGTGTGTGCTGCCTCTCGCCTTCCAGTTTTAACCTTTAATCCCTACTAGTTTCGTGTGAAATGGTGATCATTAGCTACCGCTGGGTGGGAAGAATGTCAGGGAAAAAACACACTAACGTGGACCACACAGGAGTCAGGAGGCTGGCCCTTGGTGATTGAATCCCCACCACCTCATGAATGCTGCTGCTTGTTGCTGTGGAGTGTTGAATGTGGAAGGTTGTTGTGGTTGAGTTGAATCCTACTTGTGGAAATTGCTGTCTAACAGAAGGCAATGTTGTCTTGCCCTGTGGCATCTCCATGATAACTTGTACAATTGCATCCATTGTTGTGCATATGATGTCCATTCAATTCATCTCATTGAGGGCCTCTCTCGCTTTGACTGACCCTCTACTTGACCAAGCATGCAAGTCCCTCCTTCAGTCATCACTCTTTCCTGATGATCTGCCCAAATCGAACAAGATGCATCCTCGCCATCTTTGCTTCTAAGGAGCATTCCGGCGACCGCTTCCAAGACAGGTTTGTGCATTTCTCGGGCAGTCCATGTTCTAGTCAATGTTCTTCGCCAAACACCTTGACTTATATGCACCAATTCTCCTTTGGTCTTCCTTTTTCATTGTCCAGCGTTTATGTGTACGGGAGATGATTAAAAACATCATGGGTGGATCAGGCACCCCTTAGTCCTCCAAGTGACATGAATGGGTAGTAATGATTACCTCTACGTTACAGATGAGTTAACAGAGACTGGGTAAACGTGATCAAGGCCACCTCATGAGGCAATGATGGATTTACTGCAGTTCAAGCTTCTCTCACTTGTTATGCTTCGAAGCAACAATGTGCTAAATTATGGGGAGCCAGCCCACTTTTCCTTGAAGACAGATGCTCCCAAATATGTGTTTTGGTTCAAAATTTAAATATCATCTGGCTTGTGTTGTGCCGTCCGGATGATTTCCTTCTATTTGCTTCTCAAGTACCGTTGTCTTGAGCAGTGAACCAGAACATAATGACTCTGGGCTGACACGTAGTGAATGTGATTCTCAGAGTTAAAATGGGGTTCCATCTTCCCCTCACTAATTTCTTTAGGGAAGAGTATCCCTGAATTCGGGAGAAAGACAAGGCTTTCTGCTCCTGTCAAGAGTCGCCCTCCCAGAAACCCGCAGGGGCAGTTCTACCCTGTGCTCTGGGCTCCCGAGAAGGCCATGCCTACGACTCAATGCCGTGAGCTATCCCGGAGGCAGCAGCAGGGGCGGGGAAACGCCGTTCAACTTGGTGTTTCATGTGTGCCAGTAAGTGTGCCGGAGACACAGGGGAGATGGGGCAAGAGACAATATCTTTGGGGGGTTTTTTCCTTTTATGGCTGATTCTTTTGTTTGTTTTCTTTGTGCAACAAAGACTTTATGCCTTCACCATCTGATAGAAAATTAGACAAGGCAAACATGAAATCACTCCGAATGGTGATTGGTTCGATTTTTACCATCTGTGAGATGCCGAGCACATGTTATTTAACTCTCAAAGCAATCTCATAAAGTTAGACTCCACGCCTGTTCCCATCTTGTGGATGGAAAAGAAGCTGATGAAAGAAGCCCAATGCCTCACAGCTTGTAACTGCAGGGATTCGATCTCGGGGCTGTGTGATGCAGGGCATGTCGGCTATGCTGACAGAAGAAAGAATCTACCTGGGATAAGTGCATTGACTAAACATTTTAAGACCCCCAAAAGGCCTTAGCAATAACCCTGACAGGTACAGGTGAAAAGAAATAGACAAGGCCTCAAATTCGTTGTGCTGCTAAGACCCTCTGAGGGTGCAGTGTGTTCTGCTTTGTAAGACATCTTAATATCTTAATGAAGTTATAATTATATAAAACTCTGATGACATAAAGTTAGAACTATTGCTAATCCTAAAAGTCGGTTCTAGTCTCTGAAGATGTAAATGTATCCCAATGGTTAGAGGTCACCTGTGGACGACACCATCAGGCAAAGGTGTATGACAGGCTAAGCCACAGCAGGGCCCTTTGTTTAGTCCAGAGGGAACATGTTTGCTGGTGGGAAAGACTCAAGACCTAGCATTAGAAGACCTCGGGGTCTCTTTTGACAAAATTACCTATTTGGTGTCTCCAGATGTCACTTGGTGATTTGGGGACTTAATCCACTTCTCTGAGCTTCAGTTTCCTCATATTTAGAAAGGATATCATGATAGTATATTTACTTGAGAGAGTTACGGCAAAATTAAGTACTTAAATGATGAGAAAGCTGGTTGGTACTTGGTAAACACTGTGCATTGGCTATTATTACTGTCACTAGTATCATCACTATAACCATCATCACTACTGTCACTGCTATCAGTAACACCAACTCAAACACTGGAGTCACCACCATCAGTGAGGCCACCATCATTTTCACTGCCACCGATATTACCACTGCTATCACTACCCCCACCACCCCCAACATCAATACCATCACCACCACAATCAGCAGCATCCCCACCATGACTATCACCATCACCATATCAGCATCAGCGCTACCACCGCCACCCACCACCAATACCATGAGAGCATCAGCAGCAACACTACCACCAATACCACCGCCATCATCACCCCCACCACTATTATCACCATCACCACTATCACTACTACCACTATCACCATTACTACCATCATTAACATGATCACCATCATCATCACCACCACCACCGCTGCCATTAGTTCTATCATTTCCCAAGAATTCCACTCCTCAACCACACTTTATGGATTACATAATAGAGTACATCAATATGCCAGCAATGTGTGCCGAGTGTTGGGAATGGCGCTGTGGCTACAGGTGAAAGTTATTGTCACAGACAAAGCAGGGCTGAGGGAGGCACCATGAACCTTAAAGAAGCCAGATCTCACTCACACTGACCAGAGCACCCCTGAGGGAGACACATTTCTCACCATTGCCTTGCTTGCTTCACAGGCATTGCCCTGAGCGTGCTCCCCATGTATCTGAGCGAGATCTCGCCCAAGGAGATCCGGGGCTCTCTGGGACAAGTGACTGCCATCTTCATCTGCATTGGTGTGTTCATCGGGCAGCTGCTGGGTTTGCCTGAGCTTCTGGGAAAGGTAAGTGTGACGTCTGGGTCACCCACATCTATTCTCTAAGAGGAATGGGTCCCCTTCTTGAACAGTCAAGCTTTTGACTTAGTGTTGTGGAAAAGTTGTCGGAGTGATACTTTTTGGTGTGATTCTGTACCATCTTCTGCTTTGGGTTTTCTGCTTTGGAAACAGGGAGACTTGCATTTAAACCCCAGTTCAAACATTTGTTATCTCTGTGTGCTAGTCCGGGTAGACAGGAGAAACAAAAATAATTGACACTGTCATATGTGCAAGAGAGAATTTTATATCAAGAAGTAATTATGAATTAATAAAACACCCCAGTCCAGCCCAGATCAAGTCCATAAGTTCAATATTGGCCCATAAGCCCGACATTAGCTCATGCATTTCTCTTCAGACTCACGCAGCACATGCAATGATGCTGAATGCAGGAAACTCACAGGCCAATGGGTGGAAAGTCCTGTGGATGCAACGGCAGTGGGCGCATCTGCTCCATGTGGCTTGTCAACAGGAATACCAAGCAGAAAGAGAGAGGGAGGGAGGAAGACAAGGAGTTCCCAGAATCCTCATGCTTAGGCCATGCCCAGAAGGAGACATCTTCAGGCTATGACCTGACTGACAGGCTAGACTCCACCCCTTCTTTCTTGTATCAAGTTGACATGAACTAATGACCACACTCTGCTACACTGAGTTCCTGCTACACTGGGGCCTTTGCCTTTGTTCTTTGGAAGAGCAGGTTGGGAGATCTTTTTTCCCTTCAGCCCCAAGGAGTTATCTTTGCCCGAGTTCATTGGAGAAGGATCTTGAAGAGAGGGTGGCTGATTTTCTACACCAGAGGCGTCGATCGGCATTTCCTGGGTTGGTCGACATTTCCTGGGTAAACTGTCAACAACTTGATGATCTGAAGGGTTGGGCTGCTAGTACGCAAGAGCTGCATTGGTTGACGACTCATGGGTCACTGAGGGCGGGGTAGATGCTGCTCTGGGGACAGAAGCTCTGCCTGGTAACTGACGAGGAGCAGGATACATAAGTGGCTGAAATGCAGAGGTTTTCTAAGATTTCCGGTTGAAAGAGATGTTGGCTAAGCAAGCACTGGGAAGGCAGAGAAGTGGAGCCATGTGGAAGCCGAATCATCCTGCATCGATAGCTTTGGCTGAGAGCCGGGTCACTTAGCGGTGGCGAGGCCAAAGGCAGAGAGTCCGACAGAGAGTATCAACCTGATGGTTAACAGGACTGGTGGCAGAGAGCCTGGCACAGGTCAGCTGCCCCTCAGAAACCTGAAAATGAGCTGCCACAGTGTCTCTGAGCTGGGCCACTCCGTGGTGGAGAGCCTGCGAGCAGGGAGGCCCAGTGGTAGAGAGCAGCTGAGAGAGAGCAGTCTCAGTTGGAAGGTGTCCTGCCCTTCCAACTAAGCAGAGACCCAATGGTGGAGAGAGGCTGAGAGAGCGGTCATCCTGGTTGGAAGCCTGTCTTGCTCTAAAGAAGGGCAGGTTGTGCTCACCATATTAAAAGTCTTACCAGAATTTGCTGTGAACTTCCTAAGCCTGGCCCCAAGTTGTTCCCGTGATGCCCGGGTTAATCCTGACCTCCTGCTTAGCCCGCTCCTTCCCGAGTCAACCACAGAACTGAGTAGGCGCTGGAGTTCTGTGTGGCTATTATGATGAGGGGAGAAGGTGCGGCGACTCTGTGTCGTAATAATGCTGGCTCCTACCTCTAGAGACTGCTGCTGAATTAATGCAGAACCGCCGATGTCACTTGAGACACCACCCGCTCTCGCCTCTGGAGTAGTGTGCAGCTAATTCCACCCTCAAAGGCTATTGCTAAGCTAGAGAGAGACAGCTAGATGTCTCCCATAATGCTTGCATGATGATGAAACTAGTAGACCCTCTGTAAGGAGCCCTGGGGGTGTAGGGGTTACATGTTCAGTGCCAATCCTTAAGATCAGCAGTTCGAAACCATCAGCCCCTCTGTGATAGAGAGATAGAGCTTTCTAGTCCTGTAGAGAGTTACAGTCTTGGAAACTCAGAGGGGACTCTTCTACCCTGTTCTATAGGGTCTCTGTGAGTCAGCATCAATGCGATAAACTCAAACTCACTCCCACTGAGTCCATTTGGACTGAGGGCAACACTCGAGGGTAGAGCTGCCCCTGTGGGTTCCTGAGAGTGTAACTCTTTATGGAAGTAGAAAGCCCCGTCTGTGTCCTGTGGAGCACCTGGGGGTTTCAAACTGCAGACCTTGTGGATTGCAGCCCAACACATACCCACTACGCCACCAGGGCTCCTTGGAAGTGAGTGACAACCTCCGTAATAGCAAGCTAACTGTCAGCGAAGCAAGACAGTGTCTGTGTTAAAAAGCAAAGGGTCCAAAGTAATCGATGAAAGAAAGGTGGCTGGAAAGAAGAGACGCTATAGAGCAAACCATTAACATCTCCGAGGCCAGCCCATCTCCTTGTCCCAGAGCACTCTGTCCTTCTTGTCTCAGAAAAGCCCCTTCCACTATCCCCTTGGCGAGGCAGTGTTTGGCGAATACACAATTCTCGGTGACTTTGAGTACCAACATATATTAAAATGTTTGCTTACTCAACCCCACCCTTATCTTGAAGAAGCGGGAGGCTCCTGCAGCAGGCAATACCGGTCTGCTGTTTTTGGTGGTTCTGTTGCTGTGAACAAAGATCTGGGAGGGCCTGTCTCTGTTTCTGGCAAACACAGAGACCACGTGGATTCTGGGAACTCTCATTTTTACTCTGCAAACTCGAGCCAGAGGGACACGGTGGTGCAGGACCAGGTGGTGTCCCTGGCTCCAACTCACAGGACCCGATGCGCAACCGAAGGAAACTCCGCCTGGTCCTGAGCCACCCTCACAAGTGTTGTCATGAGGGAGCCCAGTGTTGCAGCCACCACGGCAGTCCATGTTGTTGAGGGTCTTCCTGTTATTTCACTGCCCCTCCACTTGACCAAGCACGAGGCCCTTCTCCAGGGACGGGTCTCTCCTGACAACGTGTCCAAAGTACACGAGATGGAGTCTCGCTATTCTCACCTCTAAAGAGCAGTCTGGACGTCCTTCTTCCAACACAGATTTGGTTTTTTGTTTGGTTTTTTGGCAGTCCACAATCCTTTGCATAGTCTTCACCAGCACCAGGATTCAAATGCATCGGGTCTTCTTCAAGCTTCAGCAAAATCCTGTTGTGTGTGCTTATCTAAATGGGAGGCACTTTGCGAGCAATGAGGAAACCATTTCAAGGTCTAAGCAAACATCAGTGTGATAACTTGAGTGCTTTAAAGAAGGTTTTTGGAACACAGTGTGGAGAGGGGGTTGGATCCCAGCCAAGACAGGAGGATTATATTGGTCCAGTGGAGAGCGTTTATTGCTTAGTGTTATGGATTGAATTGGGTCCCCTCCAAAGACATGTTGATGCCCTAACACCTGGACCTATGGATGTAGTCATGTAGGGGAAATATGCTCTTACTTTGAAGATATAATCCATTCAGAGTTGGATGGGCCCTGGTCTTAACCCCTTCTCAATGATGTTGTCTAAAATGGGAGAAGAGACACAGAGACAGGGAATTACCACAGGGTGAGGTCAGCAGTGAGTGTCCCTCTACAAGCCAAGGGATGCCAAGAAATGCCCAGGGACATCAGAAGTGGAGAGGGTCCAGGAGGGGTCTCACTCTAGACCTGCACAACATAGCCCCGCCCCCCCACCCCCACCCCAACCCCGGATTTGCATTTCTAGCCTACAGCGCTTGCTGAATGCCAAGAAGACTTGAAGAAGAAAGACTACAGCCTTCACTGTGGATCATAACTCAATGTAAAGAAAACAAAAATCCTTACAACTGGACCAATAGACAAAACCACGATAACGGGGAAAAGGATGGAAGCTGTCAAGGACTTCATTGTAGATTCAAAAATCAGTGCTCAGGCAAGCAGAAGTCAGTAAATCAAGGACATATTGCACTGGGCAAATCTTCTGTACAAGATCTGTGTAAAATCTTAAAGAGCCAAGAAGTCACTTTGAGGATGATCCAAACTCAAAAATTCACTGCTGTTAACTTAATGCCAACTCATAGTGACCCTATAGAACAGGGTAGAACTGTCCCTGTGAGTTCCCCAAACTATAACTCTTTACAAGAGTAGAAAGCCCCATCTTCCATGACCTCATATGCAGACGAAAGCTGGATAGTGAATAAGGAAGACAAGAGAAGAGTTAATGCATTTGGATTATGGTGTTTGTCAGTGGAAATGATTGAAAGTACCATGGACTACCGGAAGATGAAACAAGTGTGTCTTAGAGGAAGTACAGCCAAAATGCTCCTGAGAAGTAAGAATGGTGAGTCTTCTTCTCATGTACTTTGGACATTTATAGGAGAGACCTGCCCTGGAGAAGAATATCAAGGTTGGTAGAGAGTCCGAGGAAACAAGGAAGACCCTCAATGAAATGGATGGACACGGTAGCTTCAACAGTCAAGCATCGCAGTCATTGTGAGAGCGGCATAGGACCGGTGTTTGCTTCTGTTTCATGAGAGTAGCTATGAGTTGGAGCTGATTCCACGGCTCCTGACAACAGCAATCATCTTTCTAGAGGCAGAGTGTCTCAGCTTTCTCTACCGTAGTGGCTGGTGCCTGTGAGCCACGGGCCATTCTGTTAATAACCTGAAACGTAGCCCACTGGACCCCTGGGGATCCTCCTGGGAGGAGTTGATGTTGTTAAGTGTTGTCGAGTCAGTTCTGACTCGTAGACACCCCATGGGCAATGGACAGAGTCAGGGCCTAGTCCTGTGCCGCCCTCACCACTGTGTCAAGCCGTGCTCCGTGCATTCTAAGTTCCGGTTATCCGTAGATGCTTGCAGCCCTTTCTCATTTCGAGTCGTGCCCCACCATCCAATGAAGGTCCCAGCAGGCTCGACTCCATCCAGGTCATTACGAGTAATTCTACTGTGAGGCGGCAGCTCTCTGTCCATCATATTTTGGGTGCCTTCCAACCCACGGGAGTCATCTTCTGGCACCCCCTC